AAACTAAAAATAAATTTGTGAAATATTAATAACTATATTTTTTTTTTATTTTTGCTTACTATTACAACTCTTTTGCCAATATATTCTTGGCTGTAGACAGTAAGCGAGGCAAGAAACTCAAGGAATAATTTTAATAAAACTGACAATTGTGTATTCTTCGTGTAATGTATAAGCTTGTTTACTTACCGTGGTGATCATCAGAATGTTTTCTTTTAACATTACTGCCATTGAGCTCTGTTGCGCCGTGGTGATGTTGTATACCTAAAATTCCATTAATACTGTAGCCAGTTGATCGATGTTCTATGCTGCTATTATTATTATCATTGACGCTGTTGGGCGTCGCTGATCCGTTCAATAAACTCTGATTATGTTGTTGTAGATGAACTGTGGTAGTTCCAGTGGTTGGTGCATTTGTTGGCGGTGCATGCGCTATAACAGAAGTAGTATTGTTGTTTTGGTGCTGTTGTTGATTTCCATCACTTCCATTATTTTCCGAATTCTCCGATATATTGTTACCAGATACACCATTAATGCTGCTATTATTAGAATTCCCTCCATTTCCATTGGTTTGTTGCGTTTGCTGGTGATGAACGTGCTTTGCTTTCTCAGCAGCTTTATTACGTACAATCCTAGCAATAACATTAAATTAATAACATTATTTTTAAATGTGCCAATGCAATTAAATTTAATTTTGCAAATGTACAAAATTCGTAATAGTAAATTTAAAAAATATTTTAAATAATTATTTATTAAAGTGAAGTGCAGTAAAGTTAATTTTCCGTTAGGAAAAATACTGAAATAGTGATTTTAATAATAAGTAATTAGAACTTCATGGCCCAATAAGAAAGATAAATTGAAAGAAACTTTCTCATAAATAGATGGACTTATATAGTTTATTGTTACAAAATCGGCTTTTTTAATTAAATCATATAATGAACTTATGGTATAATGCAGTATGTCTTGAAAATCTACTCCACCTTTCCTTAAGCTCTTCAATATCATATAATATCGAGACATGATGCGTAACAAATGCACAATAATATTGTTTATCAACTAAAAAATTGTATTAAGACTTTAGTATAAAAAAAGAATTTTATTAGTATATATTATCACAGTTATTATTTTTGCTGCTCACTTAATATTATATCTGGTTTTCCTGGTCTAATAGAGAATTAGTAAGATTACAGTTATCTGTATACATGTTTAAACAAGTGGTGGTTGTTTATAATAATATGAAAGAAAACGTGTGCCCTTAGCTCTTCATATCGCTATGAGATTCATATAAATATATGTAGCATAGAAATGTTAAGGTCGATAAAGCGATTAAAACTTTTTGCCAATATAGAGTATTTTAAAGGGGGACTAAATCAGCTGGAATGGAATTAAATAAATCCAAAATATAATTTTCAAAGGATAATGTTCATTAGTGTACACTCAATTGAGACATATGTTAACTTACTTTCAAACATTTCAATTGATATAAAACATGTAAGTGCAAAGTAAGTGGAAGTTGAGTGCCATAAGTACCACTTTATTTAACATCCCAAGAGACAATCACTTTCATTAATAGTATTCCATATGCCATTGCTAACTAAAAGGACTACAGAGAGCTTTCAGAAAGTGTTCGTTTTTATTTGCATTGGTATTGAGATTTTTGTTAACAGAAACACAAAATGACTTTTTCCTGTTTTATGGAAGTGTGCACAAGTTAATATTTATGGTTGTTGGAATATGAGGCTCAGGAAAATGCCGTTACCTCATTTGAATAAAGAGTGATCACAACTTTGTTTCGAGATTGTAGGGTATCTTAGCTCTCTATATTATATATTATAGAAATAGGATGCAAATTGGCCACATACATCTTTGATGCCAAGTATCTATTAAACAATTACAAAGCATATTTTATACACATAAACTATTCGTAGTCCGTAGTTCGAGGAGCATAGATATAAAAAAATCAAAGTAAGAACCATGACGAAGACCAATTTATTATTTTAAGAAATTTATCAATATAAAGTGGAAAAAACAAGAAATATTTTTAACTTCTTTATCAAATTTGTATTAATCCGAGTAATAGTAGATGCAAATATTACAGCCAACAAAATTACTTAAATGCCTAATGTGGTACAAAGTATGCGGGCAATATATGTATATATTTTTTGAATTTATTTACAAACATAAAAGACCATGTTAAATAGAAAGTCATGGCCACATCAAATTTGGAACCGTTGTTTTCAATGTAAACCAAAAAAATAGAGAATGCGAGAAAGAGAAATTTTGATTTGAATTTAGTCCCGGTGACGAGGCTTTTTGTGCTCCATTATATTAGTCAAAACAGTATTGCTCAGTCATATAAATCAAAATTTGCGTTAATTAGAAGCTAATTAATACAATTTTAATATATTTTGGAGAAAAAACGCTAGAAAACAACACAGCCAAGCATATAGATCCTATATCCCTATCTATATAGATAGATATTGTTAACTATTATTATAAAACTCTAGAGTTATAACTTCTACGAGTTTTTTTTCTGCTGTTAATATTTGGTGTCAAATTGTTAATAGGCATATATATATTTCATTTTAATTTTAGGCACATTCAAAAAGTACAAAATAAGTAGTAAAAGTACAAAGTTGGCAACACTGATATAACTGTCTGTACAACGCGTCTTTTGGTGACGGCTCGAAGGAGCTCAAGATTGCCGTGACCATTCGTCATATGAATATATTGGTGTATTTCCTGTTTATGTTAGTTAGCAATGAGGTTATGTAGTTTTTAGCGGATTAATCGTTGACTTTTAATAATTTAAAGTTCGGTTCTTATCTTTTAATTTTGATGTGCTTCTTCCAGTACAATTTAACATCGGAGGTAATACCACTGTTTTACACTATATATGACTTCTTTGTGTAATATTGTTATAGGTTTATAATTAATTTTTTTGTTTGCAAAGTTTACGTGTACTGATATAATTCAATCAATCTGATTTAAATATATTCCAAGTTCATAGAGAATTAAAAAAGTGATTATGATTCCTGAACCATAAAAATGTTTAAATACATTCCAGTCTGGCATATGAGTTAAAAATATAAGTTAATGTATTCAAGATTTTGTTATTAAGTCAAAAGTGGGAGCCTTTTTGTCTTTTAGTTGATTAATCTCTACAGTTATTAAAGAAATTGTGACGTTATTTTGTTGATAATCGCGAACCCCAATAGGTGTGGTTGATATCAAACTCTTTACCCATTAATTTGTGCTTATGCATGTTGATTACATAACATGACCTAGGTAAAAGTCATGGTAGGGAAAATATTAGTACGAATGCTATATTTTTCGTAATGTTCCGCTTCTTTTATATGATTATTGCAGTTTCTTCTCTCGCATCATTACTAGGATGTATTGCAAGATACATCATAAAGTTTTGAAAATTAATATGACTTTGATTTTTAAATATACTATAATATGTTTATTTTTCTAAATTTAAAAATATTTCGAGTTCTTATTGGTGTTTTAAGAGCTCAGTTAAATTCCATGTCCTAACTCTAAGAGTTTTTATCATGGACGTGTTTTAAATTCTTGTTCGAGATTGCTAGTGCATCCAGTAACTTAGAACAATCTGGGGGTGGCTAATAACATACTAATACTAATAGTATTGTGATAAATATTATAGAACCCTTGCCGATGGGAAACTTGCATAATGACTTTGTCCACAATTACAACTTGGTTCTGGCTTTCCGTAAATTGGATTAGTGCATATGATTGTTTTGTGTTTTATTCCGCATTTGATATTTCATGTGTGGCCAAAGAATTAGAAGCTTTTGCATTAAGAAATAATCTTGGAGTCTCATAATGCGTCTATTACTACTACTGTGTGTAGAATATTAATATATGTTAATATGTTAAATATTTTTTTTATATCTTTACCCTAAGGTTCTCGATTTTTCCACTTAAGCTTGTTGACTATATTCATTATATTAAGTTCTTATTTTTTGAGATCAGAGTTTATCAAACTTGGACAATATGAATAACACGGATAACATTTATTTGGCATCTTTACATATCTTTATAGGAGTGCCAAGTATATTTAGTATTTTCGTCTATGGATTGGACACTTGGGTATTGCACAATGCCTGATATAGTGACCTGATATACTCAAATTAGTCATATATGCTAAATTATCAAAATGTTCGTCAAACTTTTAGTATTGAAGAATTCACTTTTTATGGTCTATCGTAATATTGTTCCAGATCACTAATTCAAGCATTACTAAAAAAATACATGTCACATTTTAGAATCAATAATACTGCATAGCTAAAGTATATAAATTGATGTATCTTGCATATACAGCTAATTTTACTCAGTACTAAAATAATCTCAATCACCAAAACATATACCCTTTATCAAGCAATTTGCCTCAAGTGAAATTGACTAACTCACTCTCACAGAGAATAGACAGATGATTTGAAAAACCAAGCATATTGAGTAGACAAAAATACAACAAAAGCTGAAGTGTTAACAATTTAACTGCATTATGAATTCTAAAACAAAAATTAATTTTGTCAACAAAATCCTCTTATATTGCTCTATCATCACACAGATTTGGACTTATGAAATTGAGCCATAGAGCTCAGTACGTATCTTAAAAATCAACATAACATAAAAAATGCTAAACATTATCTTTAGTTAAGATACCGATGGAAACTCTATAAGAACCTCAACATCCCTACAACCAATGATGTGATTCGTATGTACATATATTTTTATATTTATTAAAAATCAATAACCATTCAAGTCAATTACTTGCAGTTTCTTTACACTTTCAATTAAAAGCTTTAAATATTTTTTAAGTTTTTATCTACATCATATAACACATTGTATATACAAACTTAAAAATAATAAAATAAATTTTGAATTTCAAATGAAATAACTAGCTTTGATCTTCCTGGAGACAACTTTTTTAAATGATTCCAAAACATTCCGACAGCTATTACCTATAGTTGGAATTATCAGTTACCTATAACTCTAAAACTCTATCTGAATTAGAAAAATGATTCCAAAGTTTTTTTTTCGATTTTACAGACCGTGACATATTTACAAATCACTAAAATATCATAACACATTAGAGCATGAAAATAAATGTTTTTGATAATAAATAATCATCGATTTAATAACCAAAATTTGTGAATTACGTTTAATTTCAAAAATAAAAAAGTAAACTTTTTTGGAAACTTTTGCGATTTTGGTTTCAAAAAAAGTTCAGAAAATTATTCCATTTTCATTAAACTCATAACTTGCCTAATAATTGTTGCGTTCGATTTGCTAAACCTAGTCTTTTGAATAAAACGGTTAACACTTTTCAGTAAAATGGCTTAAACTGTGGCTTTAACTGTAGTAATTGCTTAATTCAGAATTTAAAAAATAAAATAAAGGGTGTCATTCTTCTATTTCATTTAAAATCTAAAAATAGGATTGATTAATCGGGATTTAACAAGAAAATTTGTAAGTGGTATCCCAGCTTAATAACTAAACCAGTATTACACTCAATCTTATTATTATATATGATAGCTTAGTTGTTGTTATATAACCATGTTAAGAAATTGGACTAGCCAATATCGACGAGTTAATATAGTATTAGCTATGATATAAAAAAGGAAGGGTATTCATCACTTTCTGATCATTTGTAAAAAACTGTACATGATAGATAAATAATTTTTTTACAAAAAATGATCGCAAGGCACCAATTGAGCTCTATTAAAAATAATACAATACAATAATGTAAAAGCCAGAGTTGCCATGTCTTCATATTTCTTGAAATTTGGTTTGCATATAAAACATCTATAATATCTATAATTTTTAAAATTTCTTCTCAAAAATGTTGTACACAAAAGTAAAACAATTCAGTTAGCCAATTGTATAAAAGTACCCGATTATTTGATAAGACTACTTCTTACACACATATAACAATAAATCATGTTGGCAAATTTCTTGCTCAAGTTATGTTATATGTATTTACTATGATACGGTAATAAGGTATAGTTAACAACAGTCTCAAGTTTGGTTATAGTAACATAACAATATTCTTGATACCAACAAATTGTAAGCACCTATGGTACACTCAGAAAAATAATTTGGTTGATTTAATCTGATTTTAACTAAATCTCAGGTTAAAATATTCAAATCATACAACACATTGGTTTTCATATCTTCTTCATCACATCAAGTAAAACTTTTCTAACAAAATGACAGGTCAATTTAAATAGTATGTGGTTAGAGCATGTTTTTCTTATTGTACACATAAGCGATTTTTAAAAGCTAGCAAGTAGTTAATAAATGTATTGACTTTCGACTTTGTAATAAGCTAATGACTTTAGACTATTGACTATAGTCTAATAGGTTAATACACTCTGATATTTCAATCGCTGTTCTTCTGACCTGCTACTTTTATACTATTTCGCGAATTTCTTGGTTACTTTATTAGGTGATATGAAATACCAGTGCTTTGACGATTTTTAACCAGGATATCCTATCTTGGTTAAGTGAAGTACTGTAGCATGACTTAATTTAATATCACTTACTAGTTTAACGTTTATTATTATGGTAAATTTATAAAGAATCAAATATTAAAATATGGCACCATTTAAACACACACTAAAAACCCGGAAAAAGTGACTTTTTTCTTACATTGGTTAACGTCATACTGTTCACTTCCGTTTCCTAAAATAAGAAAATAATAAATGCGGCAACTTAGTTAACTAGCTAACATAATTTTTATTTTCAGATGGGAAGTATATGCTACTGAAACTATTTTCGTTATTATGGCGAATATAATTGTAGCCAGTGTTTGACACACGACCGCACAATGCTCTTCCTTCCTCTGTAGAGTGAAAAGTTGCTACAAATGTAATTTTCAAATGCAGTACTAGCAAAAGTATCCAAAAATTAAGAGAAAATGACTGCAATAAATCATACAAGGATGCTGTTGCAAGGATGCTGTTTAAGCACAGCACTCAAAATATTATTATACGAGTACATGGCGTTCCTCCCAAATGCTAATCTATGGACTTCGCGCCACAACATCGTTAGGGTGAACTTAAAAGTTAAGTTGTGTACAATCATTATTATTTGACAAAAACGTAAAAAATAACACTTGTTCGTCTGAGCATTCCAGTTCATTGTAAGTTCATTGTAAGTTCATTGTAAGCCAATACCAACGGCAATGTTGTTCGGAATGTAATATGTGGTAAGTGTGTGCGGCAGTTTGGTTTTGCATCCGTGTGGCCATGTGCAGCACGTGCCATCATTCAAAATCAATTCGCTGTGCATTACGTTTCCTATAAGTAACAATCATATCATTTGAGGACATTAAATGCGTATTTAACTGTCATCGAACGTTTTCTGAATGCCACCATGACTAAAGTCGAAGTAAAACTGTATACCTATTTCGTCTGTATTAGTTCAGCGGGCATTTGATTACAAAGTGCTCCAAAATTATTTAATTAAGTTCATTAAATTTAAAATACTATATACATATAAATATAATACATATAGCTAAAAGCTACTGTAGAATTAGATATGAAGTAAAAATTTTTAAACAAATCGCTTTTAAAAAAGTATAAAAATATTTTCCCATTACAATAGTCATGTTAAAACAAATACAAATATCAACAGTTTAAAATAGTTATACTAAATTTAGTACAGCAAGTGAATTCGTTGTTATCGAATAAATAAGAAAAAATACACAAAACTAGAATTTTTGAATAACGCAAATTAAGTGTAAATGTACTATTAAACCACCAAATACTTTCAAAGACCACTGTTGATGAATATTGGTTAATATTCAAACAACTATATAGTAAGTCCACTAAAATCAGTTAATAAAAAAATTTTTATATCGCTTAAAAATAAAAATATTTCATCGCTTTGTAGAATTTTAGTATTGCTTAACCAAATCTTAGTTGATATTAATCGATATTGAACATTAAATTTTTCTTACCTGTTAATGGAAGAAACGCTTGGAACATTGTCCTGCGTACAAATTCCTTCTGCTAGCAATCTATCTCGTATTTCCCATGCAAACATAGTAGGATTTTCGCGTTTATAATTGGCAATTGCGTCAACAACTGGTGGAGTAGCCACTTTTGGCTTTGAACCGCCTATAACGCCGGCCTTAAAGCTTCCGGTTTCATAATATCTATATAAAATTAAGTACAGATTTTTATATTTGTTAATATGAGGACCATCATATTGTCATAGTATAATAACAAATTATAATAACAAATTACTTATTCTTTTGAATATACATCACAATAAGTTTCATATTTTAGTATTAAGTTTCACAGATCATAAATTACCAAAAAAGACTTTAACGTCTAGAATCTAATATTTTAGCTTCTTGTTTTCCACTAATAACAACAGTGGTTTAAAACCATTGGTATCTTTGAACAACGGGAACCACAGCTATCTAAGGCCAATAGACTTATCCCATACCAATATAGTTATATAATACAAGTAGCTAAAAACAGCGCTAATCATAACAAAGGCATCACAGAAACATGGGATCCATCGCTGTCCAAGGCCAATATTACAACCAACACCAATTTCAAAACTACTATAATATTAATATTAATATATAAAAACAGTAAAATATAATAAATAAATAAAAGTTAAATTTATAAATGAAATTAAAATTAAAAGGAGGTTCTAATTATGGCATCTAACCTATATTATTACTCGGTCCACACTGTTATTACTAACTTACATTGCCAATACCAATGGGTTACTATAACAATACAATACTTACGAATAAACATAAATTATATAATAGATAATTAACAATAAATATTACATATTATAATTAAAAGTAATTAATAAATAATAATATTAATAATAAATTATAATAAATAATAATATTATATTTCTATAGGAAATATATATACAAATTGCACATCATTAATACCTATAACATGATGACCCATACCCCTCATTCCTTCATGAACCACAAAATATAGGTTTTATTGTACCAAACCTCTAACTGTCATTTACAACCTGAAATTTGTCATAGTCATGCGCATATGACCCACATAAAAGGTCAAGTGCCCAAGCCGTAGGTATGTCGCTAAATAGCAACACCCGGATCACAGCGAATTATGATCACTGATAAATGTTGATACATAACCCTTTCAACTCAAATGGTCTATTTACACTATCATGAACATGAACTTGAAAACCGTTTGTTTATTAATGAGAGAGGGAAGAGAGTGTAATGTAAGTTCATGACTTTCACGCAATGAAATTTGCTGCGTTTCTTTAATTTGACACTCATACAAATGTAATGTTATGTTTATGTTTACCTTTTAATGCTGAATACTCTCAATTTCTGTGCTCTGCACTACTACACACAAGCATTTTCACACTCATGAGAGTTCATGATAGTGTAAACTGAACTGACAGTTCATGTTGTCGTCAAGTTCATCTCACGTTCATTATAATGTAAACAGGCTCAGTGTGTTCGCCCGAAGTAAATTACAGTATTAACATGAGCTTTCAATTCTCTTCATTGTATCAATGGCAATTTTACATTCTAAGATCATAGTAGATATCACTATTTCGTATGGATCATTTACAAAACCTTGCTTTATAGCACATCCCTATAATTGAATCTCATAGGTTCAGGCTGGCTTCAATATTGGTTTCGACACAAGCTTGTTGTCAATTGAGAGACTTCAGCACTTTGCTGAAATTCCATTTGACATTCTTCCATTTTTTCTTAATACGAGTATAAGCTATCCAGTGTAATTTAACATGTGGGATTTATGATGCATCGATCTAAATCGTATTATAAGAAGTGTTTTTTAGAAAATACACTATATGTGTTAATTTATTTTTGTTCAACTTGATTGTCCATTCCATAGCCCATGAAGTAATGTGATTACCAGCCGTTTGCAATTTCACTCCATTTAAAGGAACAGATTTTAACAATTGATTTTAAAATACTGATGGACGACTTAGAGTATTGGATCTATCAGAAAACCACAAAGTGGGTGTGAAAAACTAACTTTCAACTACCTATATTGTTTCTAAAATTGATGGGTACGACGTCTGCAAAGATCAGCGGTACTTATCAAACATATGAAAAGTAATAAAATATACATTAATGGTTCTGAGGCTCGTTTATGTAAAAAAATGTCAAAAAAGTCAAATGAAATTGTTGTCTCCTTTTTGAAATCTTATATGCCGATGTAATTTTCAATTTAGATAAACAATCATTTAAATAACGGTCCATAACATTTTCCCATGGCTGTTCAAACAACATTCTATTTTCAAAATGTGTTACTTCATGATATAGACTTGTCATACAAAGGAACGCTTATTTCACGCACCCAAAAATTTGCTTTTGGCGATGGTAGTTGGTGAAAACAACAACATTCGAGAACATGGTTACAAAAGAATTGTAAGAGCAAGTCAATCAGCTTACAAAGATGAAACCTTTAAAGAATTTGTACCTCCAAAGTCGATTTTTACGGGTTTACACAAGTTGTATATAAAAATTCTTCAGCTAAATTAAAGATATTTGTAGCAATGGGATCATTGGATCGGGAACCATCTAAAAGCTCAAATAGTTCTATTATGCAAGCACTTGAAAGATGCATTACCCTTCCAACTGATGCTTCTAATACAGTATGCAATAGCTGATTTTATCAGAGCAAACGCTTGTTGTATTATTTATTTTTAATGAATCACTATTTTTATTTTTGTTTAATTTGAAAAACTGATTTTCACGGGAATTACCACGGCAGTTTTGCTTCATCCGTTAAGCATTAATACAGTTTCGTATTGTCTTTAAAACGATGCTTTTTTAGAGTAAAAATGTCTGTGTTAATTTGTGACATACAGTCTTTCAAATAATTATATGTGCATTATTGTATTTGTATTTTTTAATATTTTATATCCTTTTTTGAATTTTGGAAAATGCAAAATTATTACATGGAATCTTGTGTTTGCTACGCAACAAAAATTCTGTCATTATACTTCTAGTTGAACTTCTTTGAATATTGTGTCGCGGAGAAAGATTTATTTGTAGAAATTTGTTTGCACCTCTACTGTAAGTGTACTATTTATAAAAATTGTGCTAAATTGTAATATAATATTTACTCTTGTTAGGCTATAATGACGCGTGGCACTAGTTTGTCCGATCACGAACAGGGAATAATCAGGAGAATGCATGAATACGGCTTTAAGTTCGCCGAAGTAGCGACTAGACTCAACCGGCATAGGAACTGTGTTTCCAGGTTTCTGAAAAGCCCGGCGGAATATAATACAGCTCCACGCAGTGGCCCGAAGATCAAAATCAATTATCGGTGCAAGCGCCGAATATGGTGTCTGGCAGTGGAAAATTGGATGAACAGCGAAGAAATAAGAGCTCATGGGGGACTTCAAAAAACAAGGCGTATAATGTTTCAAATTATTCATGAAAATCACTTCCTTAAACTTAAGTCAATGGTACCAATTATCAATGTACAATCACAAAAAATATTGACGTGATTTACGTCAGAATCAGGTATCCTGCAACAAGTGAGGTTTAAGTGGTAGAACTGTTATGATATGGGAGGGCTTCTGCTAAAAAGGAAAAACTTCTATATGGTTTATATCTACCCGAATGAATCCCAGCATATATGTAGAGCATCCGGATACTGAGTTAGTGGAATTTCCTGGTTTTTTATATGGCGATGATGGGATCTACTAACAGGATAATGCATCAATTGACAATGCACAGACAACAAATTAATTTTTTGGTAATAGAAAAACTCCTGTATTGAAGTGGAAATCATGATTTTAAAAAATGATAAGATAAAGAATGATAAGAATCATGATTTTAAAAATTAAGCATAATTTGATACGGCACGACACCTTAAATCGGCAATAGGATGTGGGTGGGTTAAAATTAATTGGCGTGTCTATTTTACATTCATTAGTCAATTCTATGTCAAATCGCCTCAATTTAGTTTTAAATAACAAAAAAAAAAGTATTAGCTATTAATATTAAAAAAAAGTTCAATCACATCAACATATATTAAATTAACAGACCAAAATAAAAAAATGCACGTATAATTATTATAAAGTAATCTTTAAGTAAGTGTTTTTATTATAAATTTGATTTAAATTTGGTACTTTTTTGTCTTTTTTTATATATTACACCATATTATAAATATAACCATATACCCAGAAAAAATGTAAAATAATTTAACTTTTTAAAAATTTGAAAAAATGTGATGCACATATAATTATTTGTCTGAAGTATTACGAATTATAGAGATTTTATCATTTACTTTAAATTTTTGCTGGATTTAATTAGTTTTTTTTTGCCTCTGAGAGGCAGAGTAAATAGTAATTAAATACGATAAGTATTTTATTTTGTAAGTAATTAAATTATTTGGCAAATTTTCATATAACTGTTTCGTTTCGGGTATTGCCAAATAGCTATCATCAGTGGTCTTTAGAAATATTATTTGTATTTAAATATGGGTTTATTGGAAGAATCCCCAATATTATTTACTGTGAAACCTGTAATTTAGTTACTCGCTACTTAATAATCTCCGGACTTAATAATAATAACTGAATTTAACCGAGTTAGTTAAACAAATAATCTATTACGATTTCCGATTTCCTTGATTTCAAAAGACGTAGGCAACATATTTTCAACCGATGCCGAGTGTTTTTCAAAACGCTTGCCAATGAATCGCCGTTGGCTCTTTTTACATTTACTAAACATTACTTAATAAACAGATAGTGTCAGCTGACAGATTAATTATCACCATTTTGAAGCCGTCATATTGTTAAAAAAATTGTTTAATTGTTTAAAAATTATTGCAATTATTCTAGTCTTTGATAGATCTTCCTGTTAGTTTATAATCTTTATTTGCATATGGTATTAATATAAACATATAAATCTTAAGTTTTTGTATGTCGTACATTTATGCTCGTATATTTATGTAAGTACATTTGTTTAAATGAATTGAGCCAAATAGAATCTATATATTTTTTGTAGTTTTCCCATTTGCCTTTCTGAATACAAGATATACACTTTATCGCAATTCTACATTTTATTTTGTTCTGTACAGTCAAATGTGCAAGTGAAATTTATTCGATTTATTTACATTTACGAGCATTTGTTGTACAAAAAAGATACGAAGTAATACGTTTGCCGACAATTAATTCACGTCCCACTACTGCCTCAGGTAGCATCCATTTGCATCCATAACAACGCCTGCAAGCGTATGGTAGAATCTAACAGCCTGCAAAATGTTTTCAAACGCAAACGCACTTGACAATTTAATTGTTTTTTAATTGATTCCGTTGGAAATTTAGCAATTTGTCATTGTGGACTAGGTTCAACATTATGTTAAATTATAACATTTATTTTAGAGTTTATGCAAGTACCTTAAATTTCATAATAATTTCAACAGCACTTTTTTCTAATAAAGATATTAAAATTGCCATTATGGTCTACCATTTGATTAATTATACAAAGCATTAAAAATTTAGTTGAGATAAATAAAAAATTATTCAGTCCCCAATCACCATAAATCACGAAATTGACAAGAATAACTGCATAATAATAATTCAAACTTAATTCAAGTAAGGCCAATATTAGAATATAAGCTATAATCTATTTTTTTAAAAAATAAAATAATAAGTTTTGCTAACGATATTAGGCTCATATCTTAACGAAAAAACTCTGCAATAAAAACTTATGATTAAAATATTAGTGAAAGCAAGTAAAGATAAACCACAAGAAACATAACACAAACTCCTACAGCTATACTGGCAATTTTTTCGGAGATAAAAATCTTCACAGAAATTGGGTAATATGGGGATCCAATGGAAAAGTGATAACTGATAATGATTAATTATAACAAAAAAAAAAGTTTTAATAGGTAAAACCTATTCGTTTCCTTTAAAAAGGTCTCCCTGTGATTCTATATAGCGACATGTATGATTAAAAAGCGCGTCGAATTAATGTACAATATTGTATTCCGATATTTCCTTAAGGATGTCGACACAAGACTTCTAAGTACACAAAATCCTTTGTTTTATTAATAATTGCCATTGTCTGAAAAGTCAAAAGATGCAGCGTGATAAATCTAGTAAATTCGACATGTGGTTGACATTACCGATGTAATTGTCAATATGTGGTCCCACTAATTTTAATCTTTTGAATCCTTTAAAATGCTACTTGTATATCAAACATTATGAAGTCAAAAAGCTGTTATGAAAAAGGCACATCCACTCATGTGTAAGAAATCATCACCAGAAACCGTTCATTAATTGAAACGTTTCAATGAAAACTATATAATTAATTTAAAGAATATGAGCGATTTTAACAATACCAACACATGTAAATGTCAATAGCTAGTTTTACTACAAATAAAGCCCCTTTTAATTTTTTTCACGCCATATTTTCATAAAAATAATGTATTGTAAAAATATCTGTACGCATTATTAAAATATCTTATAGAGGAACTTTTAAAACATAGAAAAACATAAGTTATTACCAAATATATAATTTTATCACTCACCTTGACAATATTTTCGATACACAACCATGACTCACACGCAACTGACGAGATATATCACACGGACGAACACCGTTGTGAGCCAACTCTACAATTCGCTGCCGAACAACATCAGGAAGAGGTCGCCCATTTACGAACACTCCACCCAGCTGATTAACACCGCCGTGACCTGTATTTAAAAATATTCAACAGTTTAATAATAAGACACAAAATCATAATAATTATATGTAAATTTATATTTTAAAAGTTATTCAGTGTGCGATCAAGCTAAATGATATGCAAGAAGCTTCGATTATCAGAAAACGAGATCTAAGAGTACCTACATTAGTTTAACTGGTACGCAGTATATAATATGTGAGAAGATGTATAAGTTAAGATGGTTTTTCCGAATGCTTTTTGATCTTGAAAATGCATCCAATATTGATTAGATAAAGAGATATTTATAGAAGTTAAAAACAATAATAAGATTGTCTATACTTATACCAGCATTGACAGTATTGACACTTTCTACTTTCTCCTTCTTATGGAAAAGACTCGATATAATTGCAATATCTAACAGATCGATGAATGGTCTATTAGTCTACTGAAAATATTCTCAAAAATATATTAAATTATTATATTAAATTTAAATTATATTACATTATATATAAAATATATTTTTGCGCACAGTTTCGTCAATAATTGGAAAAAAAGATTATTATCCAACAACAATTTAGTCACAAACACTATACAACAAATACAATGTCCAAATGAAGCTTTTAGGTTAAGCTACTTACTCCTTCCAATGAAGGAGAGACGATATAATGGCAACACCTAATAAACCGAAGAATGGTCTGTTCTATTAGTCTTTTGGCGATATACTCCGAAATTTAAATGTGTGCTATTTTAAGCTTAAGTTTTGTGGTATACACAGTACTTCCAATCAATGCCAAGAGATTTTGAAGGTACTTCCAGAATCGCTTCAAAAATGTTATTGTGCTGCATTTTTAAAAACGGTAAATTTTAAATAGAGTATGGCGGAAAACAGTACTTTATGAAATCCCAAACAATTTTTCCAATCACATTTCATCTTATACTAGGATGATAAGTGAGTAAGTGCCCGTTCTATGTTAAAATTAAGTTCGAGATATCAAAAATATACTTTATCAAAGCAGTTTTTTCATAAAGTAATGTTTTGGGTATTTTGTGGACAAATGTTGTCCACAAAAATAGAACTCAATACTTTAAGATCTCTCATATCATATTTACTATGATGTGAGCAAACTTAGTTAATCTTGCTAAAAATTCCGATCCAGTGAGTAGCAGTGTTTAATATCTCGGTAAACATATAGATAATATCTAAATGTATGAAAATTAATAAAATCTGGAAAAAAATCAACTTAATTTGAAAACAAACCAAGGCGCGTAGGTGGATACAAAATCTGTATTTAATCGAGTATTTTAACACCAATCATATTGACATATGATATATAATTCTGGGGCATAGTTCATATCTCAACTGTAAAAATATTGTAACGATTTTAATCCAAAACGCTTTGAGTAATTTCACTGATTTCTTAGTTTGTAAAAAAACAATTGCATGCATTAAAATGTGCATGTTCCCTTCCCTTTATAGAGGATGTGATTGATAATAAACTGCTCTAAATATCTTGGAAAATTGAGAAATTATATAAACCAACTACCTCTGTCTACGTTGGATGAAACTGAGGATGTTCAAAAATCTAATAGACTAGACTAATAGACATTTTCGATCTTCCATTTAAACATTGATCAATTAAATTATAGCACCTAATAGATATGTTAGATGTAAATAGTTATAAAGCATAACGCAAGTGAAAAAGTATAAAGCGGGCTTAATGGAGCACATCATTTTATTATTAATTTGAGTTAATATTTTATACTATTTACCTATTATTTATGTAGATAAATAGACTTTAAATAAAATATAACATTTAAAAAAATATGCAATAAATTTTGAATGTAAAAACATTTATCGAAGTATGTGTACCTTTATATCAATCACTTATAACAATAAACGAAAAACAAAAGGCGAGTAATAAAAGAAAGAACAATCAAACGAAATGTGTGTAGATCTCATATATTGTATATATTAACGCCAGGTATTTACGAGTGATTTTTTTTGAATAGATAGTTCATTAAATAATAATTGCAATTGTATTTGCCGTTTATCATTTGCCATTTGATATTTGTTGATTTTGTTTGATATTTGGGATTAGCCTTCGAGAGAACTGCGGCACAAATCCCCCTTCATGGCATGCATTTCACACTGCAGTATCGTGATTATTGTTATTGTACGAAATATTGTTGCACATTGTTAGTAAAGTGGTTCCCCGCTGAGTCAATATGTTATTTATGTACTGTTGTAAACTTGACATTTGCTCAACGACCCAACAGCACAGATGCTAAGACGGCTGTTATTATTGTCACGATTTAGTTTGTGTTGCTTTGGGTTTGCGCGGCAATCCGATGATCCAAGTTCTTTTCAGTAATCCTTGTTGATATACAATATTTTTGTTGGGAATTGATCAAATTAACTTCAAAATAATTCTAGTTCCATTTAAATCTGGTATTATTTTAAAAAATTTCTAAGGAGTGATGGACTCAGTAATTCTTATTTTAGTATGATGTTATTACTAATATTTTCATAATATCATTTAAGTTCTTATTAAACTATTCGGAATTGATTGTAGTGTAAATAGATTCCCAGTATAGCTATCAAAACTTTTAAAAATCCGTATGAATTTATTCAGAATTTGTTTGTTTGAAATCTTATTGAATTTCTTTCAGTATCCTGCGACTTGATGTCTTCTAAAATGAGGAAGAAACTATCCGAATTTCTTTTATAGAAACTTTAAGCTATGTAAATAAATATATTATTACTAAAAACAATAATTTATGTTTTTTTTTACAAAGTTTAATTGTGAGCGATTTGAACAACAATACTCTTGACTTCTAAAACATTCCAAATATTTTTTTTAAAAAATGCAAAAATATTTGTTCGAAACTTTAAATTGTTTTTTTTCTTTTTCCTTTTCTAATAATAAATTGTATTTATGTAATGTACAAAAAAAAAACTATTCTAATATTTAGAACAACATGAAACACAGAACATAACAGAACTTAAAGCAGACTAAAAAACAATGGATTTGAATACGATCCCCAGCTAAATGGAATACCTTCGACATTACAGCTTTGAATAATGGTTCTTGCAATAGTAAAAACTCATATCTAACTTCATTAAGTTAAGTAATTAATCCAGCCATTAAAAATGTGCTCATTATAAAGTAAGTTCACTTATTTAATGTTTCAACGAAATGCAAATAAAAAAGCAACTACCAAAGTGCCAGTTTACAGTCCTTAAAACTAATGAAATAAATTGTGCTCATTACAAAGTAAGTTCACTTATTTAATGTTTCAACGAAATGCAAATAAAAGAGCAACTACCAATATGCCAGTTTACTGTCACTTCATGAATAATAAACAAAAATCAGCTAAAATGACAGATAGCAATACCAGAACATATGCAATGAAAGTAATAAGAAATCTTCTCAATTTTATGTAGTAATGAAATTAAATGACGCATTGGAAACATTCTCAGCCAAATTGATGCATTTTGAATTCAAATATAAAAAAATGAATTCAGCAGCAGGTCTGACATGAGATAATGATAATGTTGATTAAACGACTAATGTCTGCAGTACGAATTAATTTCAAATTTTTAATTCTTATTATAAATAAATCTACAATTAAATTTTTATATAATTAAGAAACATTGAAGGGTCTCCAAATCACATTTGGAACCGCTTACAACCCTCCCCAGTGACGAAGTTTCCTAACTAGTGAAATTAAAAAACTTGCAACCGAAATAAGATAATTTCGATTTATTATAACAATGATAAGTTCTCCATTCATAACGATAATAACAGTGCATATCTATTGCACTATTGAATCGAATTTGTATATGTCAATATGTATATTACGGGCTAAACCTCGTCATTTCACTCACTTATGCAGACAGCCTACTTAGCTCAAATATTCATGTTTAAATAAAAAATAAGAAAATAAAATCAGCACTAAAACTAGGGAATAGAAAAAAATTTACAAAAGCTTTCAGTATAATGCATCTACTAACATTCTAGATTGATTGTTCTGAATGAATGAATAGAAAAGAGAAACAATTTCAAAAGGAAACTTATGTATAAACATTTTCAATACTAAAACGGTTACAGAAAAGGAATATTTTAAAAAATGAATAAGTGCTTAAGAAATATTGATTTATTAGAGATATTAAGTTTCATTATTGAATGTTTGTTTCGAATATCGTTTTCTTTGACATCCTAAATCTCTGTTTAGGTATATTGACAATGGAGCTGTCTAAACATTGTTTTTTTATAAGCACTAAGAAAGAGAAAGGAAAGCTGTTAGTAAAAAATTATCTCATTTTAAATCCTATTTTAATGAGAACAGATGTGATTCCAGAAATTAAAAATCGTTTGAATGAAAAAATATATAATTTAAATGGAAACAATTTAAACAAGTGTGCACACAAAATATCTCCAAAAACTTAGATTTTATATCAACTCATTACGAGGGAATGTTTTACATGAAAATAACTATAATCAAAATTAGATAAATATTATTATGTATATTTCAATTAAATATTGTAACATAATAAATATAAAAAAAGATTAAACAGAGTATATAGTACACAAGATATAATCAATGTGAAACATAATTTCTCTGGGTTATTTAAAAAAAAATTAAAATTATGATTTTGCATAACCGTCTTTTAAAACTAAAGAAGATTCCACAGCTCCAACATGATTCGTGAGTGATAACTACCATTTAGGCATGAGATAAAACCGTATAATATTTTAATGACGGATATTGGAAGAACCAAAAAAATGTTAATGTTAAATGGTACTAAGTCAAAAAAAATATAGATCATATATCTAATGGAATGACAAAGGAACTATACCAGATGAATGGCAGAATGACACAATTGTTTATTATTGTTATAAATTAAATAACAATCAAAAAACAAATTTTTTTTATTTCTTTTGTTTTGCAAGCTTATTTATAAATTCTTTATTGTTTTACCAAAGGCACTTTCAACTACGATCAATCACATATGCGAAACGATACATT